AAGATAATTTTGAAAAATTTTGAGAAAAACTAAAATTAGCGATATTCAATCAGAAAAAAATTTGTAATACAAAAAATTGTACACAGAACACAAATAAATGAAAAAAAGTGTAATGCTCGGCTTCGCCTCGGGAAAATTAGCAGCTTTTTTTCTTATAAGTTGAATTTATTAAATTTAGTACGCACTTATTGAATCTCATAGAAATTTCTCAAAGATTACATATCTATTTTTTTTCGAATTCATGTTAAATTAATTGAGAAAAATGAAAAAAGTAAACTTGAAAAATTTTGACAAAAAATAATATTAGTGATATTTAGGGGGACAAAAGTCATGTTGTATACAAAATTTTCCATAGGTTACAAATAAATGAGAAAAAATTATAAACCTCGGCTTCGCCTCAGGGAGATTAGTAGCTTCGTTTCCCATAAATTGAGTTTACTAAATTTAGTAAAATTAAATCTTATAGAGAATTTGTCGAAGATTACTGATTTTGTTAAGAATTTATGTTCAAGGAACTGAGAAAAATGGAAAAAATGATTATGAAAAATTTTGAAAAAACCTAAAATTGACGATATTCAGCCGGAAATAACTTCTACAATACAAAAAAATGTACACAGATTATACAAATAAATGAAAAAAAAACCTATAACCCTCGGCTTCGCCTCGGGGAGATTAGCAGCTTCATTTCTTACAAGTTGCGTTTATTAAATTTAGTAATAATTGAAACTTATAGAGGATTTGTCAAAGATTACCCATATTTTTTTTAGAATTTATTTTCAAAGAATTGAGAAAAAATGGAAAAGATAATCTTGAAAAATTTTGAGAAAAAAAATAATTACTGTAACTTTGCCTTGGGGAGATTAGAAGCTTCGTTTCTTATAAGTTGAATTTATTAAACTTAGTACTTATTGAATCTGTTACAGAATTTGTCAAAGATTACCACTCTATTTTTTTTCGAATTTATTGAGAAAAATGGAAAAAATAAACTAGAAAAATTTCGAAAAAAATTAATGTTAGAGATATTTAGGGGGACAAAAGTCATGTTGTATACAAAATTGTCCATAGGTTACAAATAATTGAGAAAAAATTATAAACCTCGGCTTCGCCTCGGGGAGATTAGCAGCTTCGTTTCTTATAAATTGAGTTTACTAAATTTAGTAAAATTAAATCTTATAGAGAATTTGTGGAAGATTACTGATTTTTTTTTAAATTTATGTTCAAGGAACTGAGAAAAATGGAAAAAATAATTATGAAAAATTTTGAAAAAACTTAAAATTGGCGATATCCAGCCGCAAAAAACTTCCACAATACAAAAAAATGTACACAGATTATACAAATAAATGAAAAAAAAAACCTATAACCCTCGGCTTCGCCTCGGGCAGATTAGCAGCTTCATTTCTTATAAGTTGAGTTTATTAAATTTAGTAATAATTGAAACTTACAGAGAATTTATCAAAGATTACCCATATTTTTTTTAGAATTTATGTTCAAAGAATTGAGAAAAAATGGAAAAGATAATCTTGAAAATTTTTGAGAAAAAAAATTACTGTAACTGCCTTGGGGAGATTAGAAGCTTCGTTTCTTATAAGTTGAATTTATTAAACTTAGTACTTATTGAATCTGTTACAGAATTTGTCAAAGATTACAACTCTTTATTTTTTCCAAATTTATTGAGAAAAATGGAAAAAATAAATTTGAAAAGTTTCGAAAAAAATTAATATTAGTGATATTTAGGGGGACAAAAGTCATGTTGTATACAAAATTTTCCATAGGTTACAAATAAATGAAAAAAAATTATAAACCTCGGCTTCGCCTCGGGGAGATTAGCAGCTTCGTTTCCTATAAATTGAGTTTACTAAATTTAGTAAAATTAAATCTTAGAGAATTTGTCGAAGATTACTGATTTTTTTAAGAATTTATGTTCAAGGACCTGAGAAAAATGGAAAAAATAAATATGAAAAATTTTGAAAAAACCTAAAATTAGCGATATTCAAACGGAAAAAACTTCCACAATACAAAAAAATGTACACAGATTATACAAATAAATGAAAAAAAAACCTGTAACCCTCGACTTCGCCTCGGGGAGATTAGCAGATTCATTTCTTATAAGTTGAGTTTATTAAATTTAGTAATAATTGAAACTTATAGAGGATTTGTCAAAGATTACCCATATTTTTTTTAGAATTTATGTTCAAAGAATTGAGAAAAAATGGAAAAGATAATCTTGAAAATTTTTGAGAAAAAAAATTACTGTAACTGCCTTGGGGAGATTAGAAGCTTCGTTTCTTATAAGTTGAATTTATTAAACTTGTACTTATTGAATCTGTTACAGAATTTGTCAAAGATTACAACTTTTTATTTTTTCCAAATTTATTGAGAAAAATGGAAAAAATAAATTTGAAAAGTTTCGAAAAAAATTAATATTAGTGATATTTAGGGGGACAAAAGTCATGTTGTATACAAAATTTTCCATAGGTTACAAATAAATGAGAATAAATTATAAACCTCGGCTTCGCCTCGGGGAGATTAGCAGCTTGGTTTCCTATAAATTGAGTTTACTAAATTTAGTAAAATTAAATCTTAGAGAAATTGTCGAAGATTACTGTTTTTTTTAAAGAATTTATGTGCAAGGAACTGAGAAAAATGGAAAAAGTAATTATGAAAATTTTTGAAAAACCTAAAATTAGCGATATTCAGCCGGAAAAAACTTCTACAATACAAGAAACTGTACACAGATTATACAAATAAATGAAAAAAAAAAAATCTATAACCCTCGGTTTCGCCTCGGGGAGATTAGCAGCTTCATTTCTTACAAGTTGAGTTTATTAAATTTAGTAATAATTGAAATTTATAGAGAATTTGTCAAAGATTACCCATATTTTTTTTAGAATTTATGTTCAAAGAATTGAGAAAAAATGGAAAAGATAATCTTGAAAATTTTTGAGAAAAAAAATTACTGTAACTGCCTTGGGGAGATTAGAAGCTTCGTTTCTTATAAGTTGAATTTATTAAACTTGGTACTAATTGAATCTTATGAAGAATTTATCAAAGATTACCCATCATTTTTTTTTAGAATTAATGTTCAAAGAACTGAGAAATATGAGAAAAATAATCTTCAATAAGTTTGAAAAAAACTAAAATTAGCGATATTCAGTCGGAAAAAATTCTGTAATACAAAAAATTTACACAGATTACAAATAAATGGAAAAAAAATGAAAAAAAAAACTGTAACCCTTGGCTTCGCCTCAAGGAGATTAGTAGCTTCATTTCTTGTAAGTTGAGTTTATTAAATTTAGTAATAATTGAAACTTATACAGGATTTGTCAAAGATTACCCATATTTTTTTTAGAATTTATTTTCAAAGAATTGAGAAAAAATGGAAAAGTAATCTTGAAAAATTTTGAGAAAAAAAAAAATTACTGTAACTTTGCCTTGGGGAGATTAGAAGCTTCGTTTCTTATAAATTGAATTTATTAAACTTGGTAATAATTGAATCTTATAGAGAGTTTGTTAAAGATTACAAATCCATTTTTCAAATTCATGGTGATAAGCATATTGGAAAAAATAGAAAAAATAAACTTGAACAGTTTTGAGAAAAGTATCAAATTTAGGATTAAAAAGAAAAAACAATTTCAAACGAAATTTTTCAAAACTTTGCTCTGGGACCATCCAAAAGCTAAATTTTTTCAACCTTCTTCCAACTACCTCCAAAAATTACTTAAAAATTTTTTTATCGCAGATTTCAGCCTCAAGAAGCTAATTTTGGGCTTAATTTTTGGAAAAATTCTAGTACTTTTCCAGAATCGCCCACATGAAATAAGTTAAAATTTAAAAAACTTTATATTTCAGATTTTACAAATTTTTCCAAATTCCAATTGTTTCCCTTATGAAAATTTCGATCTTTTTTCTACAATTTTCGAAAATTGGGTAAAGGATTTTTTTAAAGACACCAAATTAAGCCTCTTCTGGTAGTAAGACATGAAATAAACGAGAAAAAACGAAACTATGTTTAAAAATGTTAAAACTTGAAATAATAGATGGTCCTGTGATTCGCACAGGAAAGAAAAAAAATTAAGGAAACTCTCAAATTGGCGACAAATGGAACCGTCACGTAAATTATTGTGTTGCTAATTGCAGACGTTATTTACGCTTACCTTCACTTACGACGTATGATAATGATAGTAATTATAAGTAGAACAGCCTTAGTAGTTCTAATTTAAACAAATACTCGTCGTTGTATAAAACAAACAAGTGTAAACGGCCAAGGTAAGTACGACCGGACTAACAGAGGTGAGTTCTCTAATTACTCACCTCATATTTTTACCTTTGTTAGTTAGTTCCGTCGATTTGCTGCACATCCAATAATTATTACATTTTAATAATAGTGAAATCATCGCTTTAGACGTCAAAATTTATGCAAAAGATAGTACATTTGAACATCACTCGCCCACAGCAACAATGGCACTCAATAAAACTGGCTTAACGTGCCAAAGATAAATACCATTCTAGATAAGCATATATCGCGATTAATCTTACTCTAAACGAACGAACTTTAAATTTCTCATACATGCCCACTAAAATGCCACATTACTATACCAAAATCACCGTTTCCACTATGATAAGACCCCACCTTCCGACCTCCACCGACCGCATACTTTAATGTTTTACTCGATAATAGTTCAATTATGACCAGTCAACGCACAAACACAAAATAAACGTCGCCAGACTTTCACATTCCGCTTTTTGTGAACGCACTTTCATGGACAGGTGAGTCTTGAAAAAATACAAAATATCGCAGTTTAGGTCTAGCTAAAAACAATCCAGGTTTTGAACATTTTTTCTTTGCCGTTTTTGTACAACAAAAGAACTTTATCGCTCGAAAACAGGTCCTGGATATTGTGTGATCGTGCGAAGATGGTGCGGGTTCGACGATCTCTTTTTTTTATTTCCATGGTGGTGGTTGCGTCAGTTCGAATTTGGCGCGCGTCACGTGACTAACCCTGTCATCCGAACTATTTATAATTGGCCGTCATCGCCTGTCAGCTCTCGTGTCATTTGGTGTGTGAAATTGGCTAAAACAGGTCGTGTTCGCAAAAATCTCGCACTTTCCCAAAAAATTCCATGTGTCCTTCACGAAAAAGATTAAAATAGTCCGAGAGAAAAGCACGAATCGCGCTATCTAGTGTGCGTCGCCCGCGTGCTCCGGCCCCACAAAAAGTCGTTTTTCCGGGTTATCAGGCATGAAAATGAAGATTTATAGGGTTTTAATATTAAACCAGGTCATTAGAAGCCCCTTGACTGTGTCCAGTAGTGAGAATTCGATCTAAGTCCCCTTCGCAAGAAAGTGAGGTTAAGTGACGTAATCCAGGGCTATCAGAGACCGTTTCTTCGTCGTCGAGCTACGAAAATTTGTTATTATGTGTACGAGTGATCTGAATAGGTACAATCGTGTGAATTATTTGAGCCAGTGCTTGGATAAAGTCAGCGGAATTGTGACGAATAAGATGCACAATGTAGAGTCGAGTTTCGTCACGTGCAGCATCGGATACAGGGCGAGGAACGACCCTGGCGACTGACAAAAGTGCTTCGGGGGCTGCCAGGATGGCTATTTGACACTGACTTGATGCTTCGTACCAGATTGATTCAATGTTCGATGTGCAGGTGAGGCTGAGGGCTGGGGGGTAAATCACGATTGTTTGGGTTTGGTTGCAGGATGGCGCGCGATTGCACAACGAGGTTATTTTTAGGCGGCTTATCTGCGATGATTGGAAATCGAAAGTTAATATGCAAAGATTTGGGAGTAGTTGTGGCTAGTAGCGACTTGGGTCGCGGTTGAGTACTTAGTCATACTTTGGAGAGGTGGGTTACTCATAGAAAAGGTATTTGTGGGGTTTGATATGTGCAACTAGAGCTTTTCCGAGCGATTTTCCACCATAAATCACCGTTTTCCTGTTAGATAACGAAAAACGCTAGGTGGAAAATTCTCGGAAGTAACAATGTTGCGAAATATTTAAATAGTTGATTATCTGGGAAATGCATGACGCATTTTTACAGATTATTTGTAGATGGTTGTTGTTTAAAAGTCGCCATTTTGATGTTATTATTTAATCTAATTTTAATTTCTGCTTGACGCTCATTAATCTGACCTCATTTGGACTGTTTAGAGAGAAGGAACTTCTTTAATCATTTTTAATTACTTGTTGATAAAAGATATAAGATTTTTTTTCATACTAAATGTTCAATTGTTTCGCAGATGCATTCTAATTTCAAGGCTTTCTCTTCAAGAATTGCATTATTCATAAATTTTCTATGTAAAAATTCTGCTTTGTTTATTAATTAGTGTTATTATTATTATTATTATTATCGTTACTGTTGCTAGTAAAAATTACGGGAAAAACCTCGTCGTGGTAAGCGATTTTTTTTTTAAATCAGGTTACAATATGGTTTTTGATGTAGTGTGAAGTGTAACTTGATTAATGATGTACTCATGTGACAATCATACGACGTCGTCAAATATAGGTATCATTAATAACACAATGTACAATAATTTTTTTAGTTCAAAGAGCAGAAAAAACATTTATTTTGATCTTAAAAGTGCGGGACAACTTGTCGTTAAATTTGGCTTTTATCGGAGAAGCTTCAAAGAATAAATTGTAATTTAGAATCTTCAAATTCTTCAAAATTTTTGGTATTTCAGTTTCCGAAATCTTGGCAATTTGAAGTAAGATTCGTTAGAAACTGTAAAATCTGTAGAACATTTAGAATATTCAAACTTTTCAGAATATGTAGAGTTTCTGAAATCTCTAAGCTCGCAATTTTTGGAATTCGTGGAATCTCTGGAATTTTTGAAATCTTTAGAATATTTATTTATAATTTTGGGAATCCTCAAATTCTTGAAATCTTCAGAATTTTTGGAACCTTAAGTCTTCGAAATATTCGAAAACTTTAGAATCTTTAGAATCTCTAAAATCTAACGTTTCTCGAATCGCTAGAATCTCAAAACGCTTTCCAGCCCCGCCCACTCGCATTCTCTTTTCTTAGAGGGCACCTCATTTGCCAAAATCAGTCTTATCTTGACGGATACTAGCCCCGCCCACCCACCCTCTCTTTTCTTGAAGGGTATGTCATTTGCCAAAATCTGTCTTATCCTAGCTAGTAGCTGTGATTTTGGCAAATGACATATCTTGTAAGAAAAGAGAGGGCGGGTGGGCGGGGCTAGTAGCTACTAAGACAAAATTGATTTTGGCAGATGACATACCTTCCAAAAAAAGAAAGGGTGGGTGGGCGGGGCTAGCAGCTGCTAAGATAAAACTGATTTTAGCAGATGCTAGCCCCACCTACCCGCCCTCTAATTTCTAAGAGAGATCTTATTTGCCAAAATCAGTCTTATCGTAGCAGGTACTAGCCCCGCCCACCCACCCTCTCTTTTCTGGGAAGGTATCTCATTAGATGAATTCAGTCTTATCGTAGCAGGTACTAGCCCCGCCCACCCGCCCTCTCTGCTCTTAGAGGATATTTCATTTGCCAAAATCAGTCTTATTTTGGCAGTTACTAGCCCCGCCCACCCACCCTATATTTTCTTGGAAACTATGTGATTTGCCAAAATCAGTCTTATCTTAGGTAGTAGCTGCTAAGATAAAACTGATATTGGCAAATGAAATACCTTGTAAGAAAAGAGAGGGTGGGTGGGCGGGCTAGTACCTGCTACGATAGGACTGATTTTGGCAGATGACATACCCTTTAAGAAAAGAGAGGATGGGTGGGTGGGGCTAGTACCTGTTAAGATAAATTTGATTTTGGCAGATGACATACCCTCTAAGAAAAGAGAGGGTGGGTGGGTGGAGCGAGTACCTGTTAAGATAAAACTGATTTTACAGACGCTAGCCCCACCCACCCGCCCCCTCTTTTCTAAGAGAGATCTCATTTGCCAAAATCAGTCTTATTTTGGCAGTTACTAGCCCCGCCCACCCACCCTCTATTTTCTTGGAAACTATGTGATTTGCCAAAATCAGTCTTATCCTAGGTAGTAGCTGCTAAGATAAAACTGATATTGGCAAATGAAATACCTTGTAAGAAAATAGAGGGTGGGTGGGCGGGGTTACTACCTGCTACGATAGGACTGATTTTGGCAGATGATATACCCTTTAAGAAAAGAGAGGGTGGGTGGGTGGGGCTAGTACTTGTTAAGATAAATCTGATTTTGGCAGATGGCATACCCTCTAAGAAGAGGGGGTGGGTGGGTGGTTGGGGATAGTACCTGCTAAGATAAATCTGATTTTGGCAGATGACATACCCTCTAAGAAAAGAGAGGGTGGGTGGGTGGGGCCAGTACCTGTTAAGATAAAACTGATTTTAGCAGATGCTAGCCCCACCCACTCGTCCTCTCTTTTCTAAGAGAGATCTCATTTGCCAAAATCAGTCTTATCGTAGCAGGTACTAGCCCCGCCCACCCACCCTCTCTTTTCTTAGAAGGTATCTCATTAGATCAAATCAGTCTTATCTTAGCAGCTACTAGCCCCACCCACCCACCCTCTCTTTTTTTGGAGGATATGTCATTTGCCAAAATCAGTCTTATTTTGGACCTTCAATCTTTGAAATATTCGAAAACTTCAGAATCTGTAGAATTTCTAGGATCTAACATTTCTCGGATGGCTAGAATCTATAGTCTTTAGAATCTAAATTACATAGAATCTAGATTCGTCAGAAAGTTTAAAATCTGTAGAATATCAAGATTATTCAAAATTTTCAGAATATTTAGAGTTTCTGAAGTTTCTAGCGATTCTAACATTTCTCGAATGGCTAGAATCTCAGTACGCTCTATAGTCTCTAGAATCTGAATTACTTAGAATCTAGATTCGTTAGAAAGTCTAAAAGCTATAGATTATTCAAATTTTTCAGAAGATTTAGAGTTTGTGAAGTTTCTAGCCTCGGAATTTTTGGAATTCGTGGAATCTCTGGAATCTTTAGAATATTCATAATCAGAATTCAGAATCTTTAGACTCTTTGGATTCTCTAGGCTCCTATTGTCCTAAATCTTGGGAATTTCTAAAATCTCTGAAATCATCGGGAGCTTTGAATCTCTCGAAATGTTTGTGATCTTTAGAATTTTGGGACCTTCAGTCTTCGAAATATTCGAAAACTTCTGAATCTTTAGAATCTAGAATCTAACATTTCTCGAATTGCTAGAATCTCAAAACGCTCTCTAGCCCCGCCCACTCGCCTTCTCTTTTATTAAAGGGTATGTCATTTGCCAAAATCAGTCTTATCCTAGCTAGTAGTCGTGATTTTGGCAAATGACATATCTTGTAAGAAAAGAGAGGGTGGGTGGGTGGGGCTAGTAGCTACTAAGATAATATTGATTTTGGCAAATGATATACCTTCCAAAAAAAGAGAGGGTGGGTGGGCGGGGCTAGCTGCCGCTAAGATAAAACTGATTTTAGCAGATACTACCCCACCTACCCGCCCTCTAATTTCTAAAAGAGATCTCATTTGCCAAAATCAGTCTAATCGTAGCAGGTACTAGCCCCGCCCACCCACCCACTCTTTTCTTGGAAGGTATCTCATTAGATGAATTCAGTCTTTTCTTACCAGATACTAACCCCGCCCACTCCCCTCCCTTCTTTTAGAGGATATTTCATTTGCCAAAATCAGTCTTATTTTGGCAGTTACTAGCCCCGCCCACCCACCCTCTATTTTCTTGGAAACTATGTGATTTGCCAAAATCAGTCTTATCCTAGGTAGTAGGTGCTAAGATAAAACTGATATTGGCAAATGAAATACTTTGTAAGGAAAGAGAGGGTGGGTGGGTGGTGCTAGTATCTGCTAAGATAAAACTGATTTTGGCAGATGACATACCCTTTAAGAAAAGAGAGGGTGGGTGGGTGGGGCTAGTACCTGTTAAGATTAAACTGATTTTGGCAGATGCTAGCTCCACCCACCCGTCCTCTATTTTCTAAGAGAGATCTCATTTGCCAAACTCAGTCTTATCCTAACAGGTGCTAGCCCCGCCCACCCACCCTCTCTTTTCTTAGAAGGTATCTCATTAGATCAAATCAGTCTTACCTTATCAGGTACTAGCCCCGCCCACCCACCCTCTCTTTTTTTGGAGGATATGTCATTTGCCAAAATCAGTCTTGTTTTGGAGCTTCAATCTTTGAAATATTCGAAAACTTCAGAATCTGTAGAATCTCTAGGATCTAACATTTCTCGAATAGCTAGAATCTATAGTCTTTAGAATCTGAATTACTTAGAATCTAGATTCGTTAGAAAGTCTAAAATCTATAGATTATTCAAAATTTTCAGAAGATTTAGAGTTTGTGAAGTTTCTAGCCTCCGAAATTTTGGAATTCGTGGAATCTCTGGAATCTTTAGAATATTCATAATCCTGGGAATTTTCAAATTCTTCAGAATCTTTAGACTCTGGATTCTCTAGGCTCCTATTATCCTAAATCTGGGGAATTTCTAAAATCTCTGAAATCATCGGGAGCTTTGAATACGTCGAAATGTTTGTGATCTTTAGAATTTTGGGACCTTCAATCTTCGAAATATTCGAAAACTTCTGAATCTTTAGAATCTAGAATCTAACATTTCTCGAATTGCTAGAATCTCAAGACGCTTTCTAGCCCCGCCCACTCGCCTTCTCTTTTCTTAAAGGGTATGTCATTTGCCAAAATCAGTCTTATCCTAGCTAGTAGCTGTGATTTTGGCAAATGAGATACTTTGTAAGAAAAGAGAGGGTGGGTGGGTGGGGCTAGTAGCACTAAGATAAAATTTATTTTGGCAGATGACATACCTTCCAAAAAAAGAGAGGGTGGGTGGGTGGGGCCAGTACCTGTTAAGATAAAACTGATTTTAGCAGATGCTAGCCCCACCCACCAGCCCTCTATTTTCTAAGAGAGATATCATTTGCCAAAGTCAGTCTTATCGTAGCAGGTACTAGCCCCGCCCACCCACCCTCTCTTTTCTTGGAAGGTATCTCATTAGATGAATTGAGTCTTTTCTTAGCAGATACTAGCCCCCCCCCCCCCCCCTTCTCTTAGAAGATATTTCATTTGCCAAAATCAGTCTTATCTTGGCAGTTACTAGCCCCGCCCACCCACCCTCTATTTTCTTGGAAACTATGTGATTTGCCAAAATCAGTCTTATCCTACGTAGTAGCTGCTAAGATAAAACTGATATTGGCAAATGAAATACTTTGTAAGAAAAGAGAAAGTGGGTAGGTGGGGCTAGTATCTGCTAAGATAAAACTGATTTTGGCAGATGACATACCCTCTAAGAAAAGAGTGGGTGGGTGGGTGGGGCTAGTACCTGTTAAGATTAAACTGATTTTGGCAGATGCTAGCTCCACCCACCCACCCTCTCTTTTCTTAGAAGGTATCTCATTAGATCAAATCAGTCTTATCTTATCAGCTACTAGCCCCGCCCGCCCACCCACCCTCTCTTTTTTTGGAGGATATGTCATTTGCCAAAATCAGTCTTATTTTGGACCTTCAATCTTTGAAATATTCGAAAACTTCAGAATCTGTGGAATCTCTAGGATCTAACGTTTCTCAAATGGCTAGAATCTAGAGTCTTTAGAATCTAAATTACATAGAATCTAGATTCGTTAGAAAGTCTGAAATCTGTAGAATATCTAGATTATTCAAAATTTTTATAATATTTAGAGTTTCTGAAGTTTCTAGCGATTCTAACATTTCTCGAATGGCTCAATACGCTCTATAGTCTCTAGAATCTGAATTACTTAGAATCTAGATTCGTTAGAAAGTCTAAAATCTATAGATTATTCAAAATTTTCAGAGGATTCAGAGTTTCTGAAGTTTCTAGCCTCGAAATTTTTGGAATTTGTGGATTCTCTGGAATCTTTAGAATATTCATAATCCTGGGAATCTTCAAATTCTTCAGAATTGTTGGGATTTTTAGAAGAATATCCGTTAATCTTCAAAATCTTTATATAGTTCTTTAGAATCTCTGAAATCTCTCGAGTCCTGGAATATACAGATCCTTTGGGATTACTGGAATTTCTGGAACTTTTAGACTCTATTAAAGTCTTTGGAATCTGTATAATCTTCAAAATTTTCGAAGTCTTCAGTCTTCAAAATTGTTGTGATCTTCAGCTTTGGAAATATTCAAAATCTTCATATTCTTTGGAATTTCTGAAACTTGGAATTTATTGAAATCTTTGGAATTTTTTTTCTTCAAAATCTTCGAAGTGTTCAAAGTCTTCAGATCTTTAGAATCTCTGAAATTTCTATTCTGTGAACATCCAGAATCTTTGGGATTTCTGGAATAACTGAAACCCTTGGAATCTTTATAATCTTCAGAAATTTTAGAGTCTTAGGTCTTCGAAATATTCAGAATCTTTAGACTCTTTGGATTTTCTAGTCTCCTATTTTCCAAAATATTGGGAATTACTAGAATCTCCGAAATTCTTGGAGTTTTGAGAATTTTTAGGAAATATTCGAAAACTTCAGAATCTGTAGGATCTCTAGAATCTAAATTACTTAGATTCTTTTATATTAACCTACAGAGATTATCATGAAAAAATAACAAATTCTTAGAATCAATTTTAATTTTTTTACATAAAAACACGATAATTCAGTCCTCAAAAATGTGCTGATTAAAAACGTAAGATTTTTTTTTAAATTAAATATTTGTCAAATAAGTTCAAATGCATTCTAGTTTCAAGGCTTCCACTTAAAAAATTGCATTATTCAAATAATTGTCTAAGTAAAGTTCGTGTTATTAATGTTTTATTAATTAGTGTTATTATTATTAGAAGATCCAATCATGGGAAAACCACTTTCATGTTAAGCGATATAATTTATATGTAATCATTTATCAATTTTTTTCAATAACGTTCGAAATTGTCGAATGACTCATGTGACAGGCATGTAACATCAAATATAGGATGGTCAAATATATAACTTCAAAATCTATTTTTTAGTGCATTCAAATTTAGCTTTTACTTCAGAACTTTCATTTAATTTGGTTTGGTAATAATAACAATAAGCTTTAAAAAATTCCTATAGACAAGGATACTAGTTCATCAGAGATCGAAGTTCATATCACATATGTATTATTTAACTTACTATAATTCTTCACATGTGTTCATCAAAACACCAACAGTCCAAATAAATATTGTAATAAAAGTTGGAATAAATAAAGGCCCAGATAACACAACTCACTTGAGATTACGCACTCGAGTCCGATTGTTACATTAATAGTCAACGCGTTTCGAACGAAATTTCAACCTCCATCAGTGCAAAAACCGTCCAAACCCAAAAAACCGCGATTTACCCGTCGCCGTTCCGTCGAGCCCCTCTGACCCCCCTTTTCGCAGATTCTTGATAATTGTCCTTACCGTGAAGATTAGAAGTTGGTAGTACGGACCGTACCGAAGAAGAAAGAACCGAATGAACTTTAAAGAGTGATGAAATACGGCATAAGTTAGCAGTAAATCAGTGTGAACAAGTACTTAGTTTTTTCAATTGACTTAAACTGTGCTTTATTACTTAAACCAGTGATTTAATTGTGCAATAATGGCGTTCATCAAGAAAGACTACTCGAGATTCTCCTGGAGGCGGAAGAAGAAAGACAAGAACATACAGGAGCAGCACGCGGAGCTCCTCAAAGGTTAATAGCTAGACCTAAACCGCCCACCATCCTCATTTTATTATCAATATTATTATTATTGTTTTTGTTTCGAGTAGGTACCATGCAGACGCCTGGCTACTTGATGTACATAAACAAGGGACAGGATGACGAGATGGAGATATGTTGCTTCCGGACCAGCCGGCTGAAGATCGTTTTCACGTACTTAGTTACGGTACTTACAGGTGGCGCTCTGAGACTTATTTTTCATTGGATACCTCATTGGTACGTTTTCGCCACGTGCAACGCCTGCGGCGTCGGCGACGCCGAGAAGGTTCTAGTCAAGGTGCCTTCGTCCGGTTTTGCGACTTCCGGTTAACTTGTGTGTTTTTAGGAGATATTTGGGGGGAAGCACACGATTTACCACGTCAAGGACTTGAAGGTGTTGACGCCCGAGAGCGTGCAGAAGCTGAAGGACGATGATGGGAGTTTCGGTGGTGGCGGAGGCGGCGAGAGCGAGGTGGCGGCGTTGTCGGTGCATTTCGAGAACGGGGAGTGGAGGGAGTTGGACAAGTAGGTATTTGTTGTGTTGGGGATTAGATAGCGGTAATTAGATGTTTGGGTTTGAGCAATAACAGTTTCATACGCAAATAGTGGTTATCGGTGACCTTACGACTGATTTTTGTGGAGTTGGTTAATTTAGATTGTCGAGTGGAGAAGAGGGGAATCGTCGCAAGCGGGAATCTATGAAATTTAGAATTTTCGAAATCCGTAATTTTTTGGATTTTTGTAATCATTGGAATCTCTGGAATCTCTAGAGTTTCGGAGTATTCCGAATTTTCTGGAACTTTGGGAATATTGATAATCTTTAGAATCTTGGCAATCTTCAAATTCTTCAGTTTTCTAAATCTTAGGAATTTCTAGAATCTCTGAAATCCTTGGAATCTTTGTAATCTTCAAAATTTTTGAGACCTTCAGTCTTCGAAATATTCGAAAACTTCAGAATCTGTAGAATCTAGAATCTATAAAATCTAGAGAATATACATAATATTCAAAATCTTCAGAATATTTAGAGTTTTTGGAATATCTGGTCTCGGAATTTCTGGAATTTGTGGAATCTTTGAAATCTTTGGAATATTTATGATCCTAGGAATCTGTGAGTCTTTGGAATCTTTGGATTCTCTAGTCTGCGAATATCCGAAATCTGTTGAATCTTTGAAATCTTCGAAATCTTTGTAATCTTCACAATTTTTGCGATTTTTAGGCTCGGAATTTCCGTAATTCTTGAATTTTGTGGAATCTCTGGAATCTTTGATATCTTTAGAATATTTATAATCCTGGGAATATTCAAAGCCTTAAGAATTTTTGTGATCTTCAGTCTTGGAATTATTCAAAATCTTCATTATCTTTAGATTCTCTGAAATGTCTTGGGTCTCGGAATATTTAGAATCTTTGGGATTGCTGGAATTTCTGAAACTTTTGGAATTTTTTGAAATCTTTGGAATCTTTTCTTCAAAATCTTCGAAGTCTTCAGTTTTCAGAATTTTTGGAATATTTATTCTTCGAATTCTTCACAATCTCTGGAATCTTTAGTCTCGGAATTTCTCTTAATCTTTAAATTTTGTGGAATTTCTGAAATTCTTGAAATCTTCAGAATATTTATAATTCTGGGAATCTTCAGTCTTCAGAATTTTTGTGATCTTGATCTTGGAAATATTCAAAATCTTGATATCATTAGATTCTCTGAAATCTCGCGGGTCTAGAAACATTTACAATCTTTGGGATTCTGGGAATTTTAGGAATCTTTTCTTCAAAATCTGCAATGTCTTCGGAATTTCTGGAATATTTAGTCTTCAAAATCTTCAGAATTGTTAGAATTTCTGGAATCTTTGAACCTTTATTCGAAGGATCTTCAAAGGCTTCAGAATTTTAGTGATCTTCAGTCTAGAAAATATTCAGAATCTTCATATTCCTTAGAATCTTTGAAATCTCCGGGATCTCGGAATATTTAGAATCTTTGGATTATTGGGAATTTTGAGTCTTTTTTCTTCAAAATCTTCGAAGTCTTCAAAGTTTTCAGAATTTTTGGAATATTTATTCTTCGAAATCTTCAGAATTTTTAGAATTTCTGGAATCTTTGAACCTTTATTCGAAGGATCTTCAAACGCTTCAGAATTTTAGTTATCTTTAGTCTAGAAAATATTCAGAATCTTCATATTTCTTAGAATATTTGAAATCTCAGGGATCTCGGAATATTTAGAATCTTTGGATTATTGGGAATCTTGCGAGTCTTCTTTCTTCAAAATCTTCGAAGTCTTCAGTTTTCAGAATTTTTGAAATATTTATTCTTCGAATTCTTCACAATCTCTGGAATCTTTAGTCTCGGAATTTCTCTTGATCTTTAAATTTTGTGGAATTTCTGAAATTCTTGAAATCTTTAGAATATTTATAATTCTGGGAATCTTCAGTCTTCAGAATTTTTGTGATCTTGATCTTGGAAATATTCAAAATCTTGGTATCATTAGAATCTCTGAAATCTCTCGGGTCTAGAAATATTTACAATCTTTGGGATTACTGGGAATTTTAGGAATCTTTTCTTAAAAATCTTCAATGTCTTCAGAATTTCTGGAATATTTAGTCTTCAAAATCTTCAGAATTGTTAGAATTTCTGGGATCTTTGAACCTTTATTCGAAGGATCTTCAAAGGCTTCAGAATTTTAGTGATCTTCAGTCTAGAAAATATTCAGAATCTTCATATTTCTTAGAATCTTTGAAATCTCCGAGATCTCGGAATATTTAGAATCTTTGGATTATTGGGAATCTTGCGAGTCTTTTTTCTTCAAAATCTTCGAAGTCTTCAAAGTTTTCAGAATTTTTGGAATATTTACTCTTCGAAATCTTTGGAATTTTTTAGAATTTCTGGAATCTTTGAACCTTTATTCGAAGGATCTTCAAAGGCTTCAGAATTTTAGTGTTCTTCAGTCTAGAAAATATTCAGAATCTTCATATTCCTTAGAATCTTTGAAATCTCCGGGATCTCGGAATATTTAGAATCTTTGGATTATTGGGAATCTTGCGAGTCTTTTTTCTTCAAAATCATCGAAGTCTTCAAAGTTTTCAGAATTTTTGGAATATTTATTCTTCGAAATCTTCAGATTTTTTAGAATTTCTGGAATCTTTGAACCTTTATTCGAAGGATCTTCAAAGGCTTCAGAATTTTAGTGATGTTCAGTCTAGAAAATATTCAGAATCTTCATATTCCTTAGAATCTTTGAAATCTCCGGGATCTCGGAATATTTAGAATCTTTGGATTATTGGGAATCTTGCGAGTCTTTTTTCTTCAAAATCTTCGAAGTCTTCAAAGTTTTCAGAATATTTGGAATATTTATTCTTCGAAATCTTCAGAATTTTTAGAATCTCTGAAATCTTTGAAACCTTTTGAATATTTATTATAATTCTGAGAATCTTCAAAGAAATATTCAAAATCTTCAGATTTTTGGGAATGCTGAGAATCTTGGGACTTTTTTTCTTCAACGTCTTCAGAATTTTTTGACTATTTAGCCATCGAAATATTTGGAAGTTTTGGCATCTTAGATCTTCGAAATATCCGGAATCTATGGAACCTCTGGTCTGTGAATATCCAGAATCTTTGGGATTTCTGGAATAACTTAGAATCTCAGGAATGTATAGTCTCGGAAAATCCGAAATCTTTGGAATTTCTGGAACTTTTAGAACCTTTATAATAGTCAGAATCTGCGAAATCTTCAGAATCCTTAGAATTTCTAGATTTTCTAGTCTCTGAATATGCAGAATCTTTGGGATTTCCGATCTTTGGGTTTTCTGAAAAAACTGAAATCTTTGGAATGTTTATAATTTTTAGTGTTGTAAATATTCAGAATCTTTAGAATCTCGGAATATCCAAAATATTTGGAATTTCTGGAATATTTGGAGTCTTTAAAATCTTCGAAATCTATAATCTTTAGAATGTCTGGGATTTTCAGCCTTAGAAATATTCAAAATCTTCATATTCTTTAAAATCTCTTGAGTCTCGAATAGCCATAATATTTGGGATTATTGGAATTTCTGAAACCTTTGAAATCTGCTGATATCTTTAGAATCTTAATAATCTTTAAAATTTTTGGAATATTCAATCTTCGAAATCTTTATAATCTTTAGAATTTCTGGATTTTCTAGGCTCTGAATATCCAGAATCTTTGGGATTTCAAATCTTTGGGTTTTCTGGAAAAAAAAAATCGATGAAATCTTTATAATATTCAGTGTTCGAAACATTCAGAATCTTTAGAATTCAGAAAATCCAAAATATTTGGAATATTTGGAATCTTTAAAATTTTTGAATTCTCTATAATCTTCAGAATTTTTAGGATTTTCAGCATTGGAATTATTCACATTCTTCATATTCTTTAGAATCTCTGAAATCTCTCGAGTCTCGGAATATCCAGAATATTTGGAATTATTGGAATTTCTGAAACCTTTGGAAACTTTATAATCTTCAAAATCTCCGAAGTCTTCAAAATTTTTGGAATATTTAATTTTCGAAATCTTCAGAATTTTTGGAATTTCTGGATTTTGTAGACTCTGAATATTCAGAATCTTTGGGTTTTCTGGAAAAACTGAAATCTTTGGAATCTTTATAATTTTCAGTGTTCGCAATATTCAGAATCTTTAGAATCTCAGAATACCTAAAATATTTTGAATTTTAGAATATTTGAAATCTTGAAAATCTTCATATTTTTTAGAATCTCTTAATTCTCTGAATAGCCAGAATATTTGAGATTTGGAATTTCTGAAACCTTTGGAATCTTTATAATCTTCAAAATCTTCGAAGTCTTTAAAATTTTTGGGAATATTTATTTACTCTTCGAAATTTTCAGAATCCTTAGAATTTCTGGATTTTCTAGTCTCTGAATAACCAGAATGTTTGGGATTTCCAATTTTTGTTTTTTTTTTGGAAAAACTGAAATCTTTGGAATCTTTATAATCTTCAGTGTTCGAAATATTCAGAATCTTTAGAATCTCGGAATATCTAAAATATTTGGAATTTCTGGAATATTTGAATCCTTTAAAATCTTCGAAATCTATAATCTTCAGAATTTTTGGGATTTTCATCCTTGGAAATATTCAAAATCTTCATATTTTTTAGAATCTCTCAAATCTCTCGAATCTTTGAATATCCAGAAAAATTTTCGGAAACCTTTGGAATCTTTATAATCTTAGAAGTATTCAAAATTTTTTGAAATATTTAATCTTCAGAATCCTTAGAATTTCTGGATTTTCTAGTCTCTGAATATCCAGAATCTTTGGGATTTCCGATCTTTGGGTTTTCTGTGAAAACTGAAATCTTTGGAATCTTTATAATCGCAGTGTTCGAAATATTCGTAATCTTTAGAATTCGGAATATCCAAAATATTTGGAATTTCTGTAATATTTGAAGTCGTTAAAATCTTCGAAATCTATATAATCTTCAGAATATTTGGGATTATTGGAATTTCTGAAACCTTTGGAATCTTTATAATCTTCAAAATTTTTGGAATATTTAATCTTCGGAATCTTCAGAATTTTTAGAGTTTCTGGATTTTCTACTCTCTGAATATCCAGAATCTTTGGGATTTCCAATCTTTGAGTTTTCTGGAAAAACTGAAATCTTTGGAATCTTTATAATCTGCAGTGTCCGAAATATTCAGAATCTTTAGAATCTCTGAATATCTAAAATATTTGGAATCTTTAAAATATTCGAAATCGATAATCTTCAGAAATTGGATATATTCATAGTCTTTATATTCTTTGAAAGTTCTCGAGTCTCTGAATAGCCAGAATATTTGGGATTATTGAAATTTCTGAAACCTTTGGAATCTTTATAATCTTCAAAATTTTTGGAATATTTAATCTTCGAAATCTTCAGAATCCTTAGAATTTCTGGATTTTCTGGAAAAACAAATTTTTGGAATCTTTATAACCTCAGTGTTCGAAATATTCAGAATATCCAAAATATTTGTAATTTCTGGAATATTTGGGGTCTTTAAAGTCTTCTAAATCTCTGTAATCTTCAGAATTTTCGGGATTTGCAGCCTTGGAAATATTCAAAATCTTCACATTCTTTAGAATCTCTGAAATATCTCGAGTCGCAGAATAACCAGAAAATTAGGGTTTATTGGAATTTCTGGAACCTTTGGAATCTTTATAATCTTTAAAATCTTCGAAGTCTTCAAAATTTTTGGAATATTTAATCTTCGAAATCTTCAGAACCTTTAGAATTTCAAATTTTTGGATTTTCTGGAATAACTGAAATCTTTGGAGTCTTTATAATCAGCCTTCGAAAAATTCAGAATGTTTGGAATTTCTGGAATGTTTGGAGTTTTTGAAATCTTCGGAATCATTGTAATCTTTTTTTTGGGATCTTTAGCCTTCGAAATATTCAGAATCTTCATATTCTGTAGTCTCTAGAATTTTCTATTCTCACAATATCTGGAATTTTGGAATTTCTGGAATATTTGGAATGTTTATAATATGCAGAATTTTTAGTATCAGTTTTCTTTCTAGAATTTTAGAAATCTTCGAAATGTTTATAATCTTCAGAATTTTTGGGATCGTCCGTCTCGAAATATTCAGAATCTTCATATTTTTCCGAATCTCTGGAATACTCGGAATCATTGAAATTTCTGGAACCTTTGAAATCCTTATAGTCTTCAGTTTTCATAATTTTTTGGAATCTTCAGCCTTCGAAATCTTTAGAATGTTGCGGCTAATTCTATATTTGAGTTTGAGCAATAACAATTTTTGTAAAGTTGCTTGATTTAGATTGTAGTAGTCGAGAAGAGGGGAATCGCCGCTTGCGGCGATTCCCCTCTTCTGCTCCTATCGAACTTAGTTCTGATCCAGTAACTTTAACATTCAGATTATTCATGTTCAACTGCAAAAAAGTAACCTACATCTGGGACTGCCGCAAGCACGAATTCGTCAAACTCCACGGCTTGGACCAATCCGTCTCCAGCGACACCCTCCACAAAAACCAAGGCCTCACAGCCAGCGAACAATTCACCCGACGCCTGGTCTACGGCCCGAACAAAATCATCGTCAAAGAACTCTCCATCCTCACCCTCCTCTTCCTCGAAGTCCTCAACCCCTTCTACATCTTCCAAATCGGCAGCTTCATCCTGTGGTTCCTCGACGACTACTACTACTACGCGGCCGCCATCATCACCATGTCGGTCTTCGGCATAAGCATGACGGTGCGCCAGACGCGCAAAAACCAGCGCAAACTAAAATCGACCGTGCACAGCTCGGACATCTGCACAGTCTTGCGCCGGACGAGCAAGAGCGACGGCAGCGGCGACGTCAAGTACACGACGGAGCCGATGTCCACCGAGCTCTTGGTCCCGGGCGACGTGCTGGTGATCCCGTCGCACGGCTGCGTCATGCACTGCGACGCAATTCTGCTCACGGGGAACTGCATCTTGAACGAGTCCATGCTGACGGGGGAGTCGGTGCCGGTGACCAAGACCGCGCTCCCGAATCTAGCGGAGATCGTCTACGACGCCAAGGAGCACGCAAGACATACGTTGTTTTGTGGCACCCAGGTGATACAGACGAGGTACTTCGGGAACGAGAAGGTGTTGGCGGTGGTAGTAAGGACCGGGTTTTCAACGGCCAAGGGTAGGTCGTCACTCTTGACAAAAAATAATAATAATAAAAACGGGATTTGCTTTGTCGTTGTAGGTAGTTTGGTCCGAAGCATTCTCTACCCGCCCCCTGTGGACTTCCGCTTCGAGAAGGACTCCTACAGATTCGTTATGCTTTTAGCTGCAGTCGCTCTAGTCGGTTTTATTTACACCGTCATCACCAAAGTGAGTGTGTTTACTGGCTCCATAACCGGTTGTGATTGTTGATTTTACTAGGTGATGCGCGGCGTTTCGTCCCGCGACTTGGTGATCGAAGCCTTCGACTTGATCACGATCGTGGTACCCCCAGCCCTCCCCGCCGCCATGACCGTCGGCCGCTTCTACGCCCAAATCCGGCTCAAGAAGAACAAAATTTTTTGTATTTCCCCGCGCTCGATTAACGTTTCGGGTTCCATCGACTGCGTCTGCTTCGACAAGACGGGCACCCTGACCGAGGACGGGCTCGACTTGCTTTGTGTCGTTCCGATCAAAGAAAAAAATTTTCACATGCCGGTGAAGAAAGTGAGCGCTTTACCGTCAGACGTGTTTTTCTGCGGTTTGGTGTCGTGCCACTCGTTGACCATCATCGACAAGCAAATTGTGGGGGACCCGTTAGATTTGAAGATGTTTGAGAGCACCAAGTGGGTCATGGAAGAGCACGATGTTGCAGATAACAGTAAATTCAATATGATTTTTCCGACTGTGTTGAAACCCCCGAGGAACGACGATGACCTACAGATCGGGATAATTCGGGAGTTTCCGTTCTCGAGTAGTTCGCAACGCATGGGGGTGATTGTGAGGAAACTAACTGCGCAACATTTCGAGTACTATGCTAAAGGTTCGCCGGAAATGATACTCAACTTTGTTCGCGATGAGAGCGTACCGAGTGACTTTCACGATGTTCTGGAAAGTTACACTCAAGAGGGATACAGGGTGATCGCGTTAGCGCACAAGGAACTTAAGCTATCTTACGCCAAAGTCAATAAAGTCCAACGGGACGCGATTGAAAAAGATATGACTTTGTTGGGTTTGATAGTCTTGGAGAATCGCTTGAAACCGGAAACCACGCCGTGTATTCAAGCTTTAAACGACGCCAGTATTCGGGTCGTCATGGTGACGGGTGACAATATCCTGACTGCGTTGAGTGTGGCTAAAGATTGCGATATTGTGACGCCGCGTCAGAGCGTCATCACTGTAAACATCGACAATAGCACGCCCCCGAAGCTCTACTACACGCTCACCAACACGAAAAATAAAAACTCGAATGAGTATAGTGTGATGACGGATAGCGCAAGCATTGTCAGTTTGGACACAATCGAGAGTCAAATTCAGAGTATCACTACCAACAGCACGGTGAAAGTAGAAACGAAAAAACCCCAAAGTTTGTATAATAATTACCGGTTTGCGATGACGGGGAAGGTGTGGGGGGTGGTTAAGGAGCACTATCCTGATTTGCTGCCGAAATTGGTGACCAGGGGCACGGTGTTTGCTCGAATGTCACCAGAACAGAAGCAACAACTGGTGCAAGAGTTGCAAACGCTTGGCTACTGCGTGGGTGAGTGTTGCTACGTTTGTAAACAAAGCAGAGGGGAACCGCCACGTCTCGACGTTGTAGCGATTCCCGTCTGTCGTTATCGGACTTACTAAATTTGTGTTTTTTTGTGTTTGCAGCTATGTGCGGAGATGGGGCAAACGATTGTGGTGCTCTGAAGGCGGCCCACACTGGAATCTCGCTTTCCGAAGCCGAGTCGTCCGTGGCCAGCCCCTTCACGAGCCGCAACGCCAACATCTCTTGCGTTTTGAACGTGATCAAAGAAGGCCGCGCCGCCCTTGTCACCAGTTTTGGTATTTTCAAGTACATGGCGGCGTACAGTCTGTGTCAGTTCGTGTCGGTGCTGATTTTGTACAGTATCGACTCGAACCTCACCGACTTGGAGTTTCTATACATCGATTTGTGCATTATTTCGATTTTCGCGTTTTTCTTCGGGAAGACGGAAGCCTACTCGGGGAAGCTCGTCAAAGAGACACCCTTGAGTAGCTTGATTAGCGTCAGCCCGATTCTGTCGTTGTTGTTGCAAATGTTGCTTGTGATCGCAATCCAAGTGGGGGCTTTCGAGCACCTGAAGATGCAAACTTGGTACACGCAGTTCGACGCCAGTCAAGTGAGCGACAAAGACGAGGTGGCGTGCGTGGAGAATTTCGTCATTTTTACAGTGTCGAGCTTCCAATATATTATTTTAGCTGTGGTTTTCTCTAAGGGGAAACCCTACAGACGGAGTATTTTTTCCAATTATGGATTCGTGTTGAGCGCCATTTTGATGGTGGGGTTTTCGGTGTACTTGGCGCTGTGGCCGGCTGCCTTCTTCGTCGAGCAGTTCGAGCTGGTGCAGCCGCCGAGTTTCGACTTTTGTTTGTACTTGTTGGTCTACGCTGTCGTGAATTTCGTCCTGAGTATCTTTATCGAGCAAGCGGTTATTGATTACTTGGTGTTCAAGAAGTTGAGGTTCAAGTTTCACAATGTGGATAAGTCTAAAAGGAGGTATCTTGCGATTGAGCGCGATATCGATTTGGACACGAAGTGGCCGGTTTTGACGTCTGATTTCAAGTCGGCGGCTAGTCCTTTGAATCCGTTGCCGACGTGCACGGCCGAGATCGTTGTGGAGAAGGAAAAGTTCGACAAGAATCACGTTTTGAATAAGTTGTATGAGGGGGAAGTGCGGCGGTTCATCCCCAACGGTCAATTACTACAGGATGATCTTCCTTTTTCGAGTTTGCCTTCCGAGTCTAGTCCTAGTTTAAGCGAGACTTATAAGAGTTTTCCTAGTAATACTAGCTACGATTTGGCGAATTCGCAGACTAACATAGCGGAGCTTCCGTTCGACTCTGTAGCCGTTAGTGTCCCGGAGCGCGACAATTTAGCCAGTTTTAACTCGCTGGGTCGGAGTCCAAAGAACGTAGCACCAACGAAGGAGCTAGAAATGAGCTACTTAGAAAATAGGTGACTTAGCTTTAAGATTTTGAACTAGCGAAAAAAGTATTAAATGTACCAATGTATCTCTTCGTTGTGTTTCTCTTCATCCATATCAAGCTGAGGGTATCTACGGCTTAAGTGCTACTAAGTTCCTTTATTTTTACAATTTTATATAAGAGTAATCTAAACATCACTGTACTTAGGGTTAATAAAAGATTTATTTGCTCAAGTGATCGATGATGTCACCCAGTCCCACCAACGACCTAATCATAAAAAAAATATCCATTTATTTACAACGTACAGTGTAGAGTGCAACAGTCCACAAAAGGTAACAAACAATAATTTAATTAGTATTAAGCCACGTCAATCACACCGAGATCATCGAAAAATATCAATTTTGAGGTTATAAACCTGGAAACGCGTCTGCGATAATTCGATGAAACAATATCAAGTGACTGAGAATATCTACTCGAAGCCGCGACGTTTGCGCTTCATGCGGGCGTACGGACCCACGTCGGGGTCCATGATAAAGTCGTACAGAACCGCCGTCCACGAGTGGTGCTGAGGCAGGTCGTCGTAGAACTCGGGCGCGATTTTCTTCACCTCGGGTAACCTCGACCCCGGCACGTACGGAAAATCGTGGTGCTCGTTGTGGTAGCCCACGTTGAAGGTGATCCAGTTCAGCGGCCCGTAGTAACTATAAGTCTCGTACCCCTTTTTGAACATGTAGTGCTCCGAAATGAAGTGTCCGGCTACTGGGTGCAGCCCCATGGCCATCACCGAGCCGAAAATTAAATACCCTAGGACTCGTCCGCCTGAAACAGTACTTTTAGTGTGTTGTCGCGACGGCTGAAAGTCGCTCACCGAAAAAGTACACTACGATCGCATCAAAAATTATTTGTATCACAGTATTGATGAATTCGAGCATGGTGGGTTTCTTGGGGTAGGTCACTAGGGGTCTGAATGCGTAGAAGAAGGGCTGCAGGACCACCCAGAGGAATTTGCCGAAGGTGGTGCAAAAGAGCTTAGCTTCGAGGTACGTCGGGATGTCGGTGTCCTTGAGCTCGTCGCCTTGGTACTGAAGTCAAGTGTGCGATAAGTTAACAATGGAGTTGCGTTTCCATTGAACAGATAATGAGGCAGTTTGAGTAAATTGTACACAATTGAGTGCAATTAAGTGGGTTTTAATCTTAATTGGTGTACGCGGAAAATCGTTGTCGAGTTCTTGGCCACTTTTGTGTGTTCAACTTGGCATTAAATTTGGACTTCAATGTTGTTGTTTCGAAAGGAGAATAAGAAATGGTAATGGATGTCTTTAGTTAAAAAATATCATTTTCGTATATACAGGGTGAGTTACTAGACGCGCTTTTTTGATATCTCAGTTTTTTTGAGTAGCATGCACAGCACACAATTTGGTTTTTTTAAATAGAACATACTGTAGATTTTTATCTAATGCAAAGGTTCACTAAAAAATCGTAATAACGTAATTTTTACAATCAATCAATGTTGCAATATTTTATCGACGGATAAACAGAGGTATGCGCTTTGTTATAGTATCAAATAAATAAAATTTTAATATACAGGTGTTGTAAAAAATAAACTTGCTACAAAAAATCCAAAAAAATTAAAATGACGTGGCAACATCGCATCTGAATTTCACAAATGAATTGTAGTTATAAAGCCTAATGAGAGCTCAAACAGAATATGCAAAAATGAACTCCATGAAAAACTAAATTATATACAGAGTGTTCAAAAAGGCCGCACCAATTCTATGACACCTTGTTCCGGACTGTTTATGGAACAGAGAAAAATAATTAAAAAAAATCTTTTGTCCAATTGTTGAAAGTTTCAACAAAACTAAAAACTTCGGATTTTTTGATGATTTTTTTCGAAGTTAATCATGTATTGATGAGTTGGTGTGCCATTTTTGATAATCTTCCACCAGCTACAAGTCCGAAGTCGCAATTACGACATTTATTCAAATGAACGTGAAAAGTGAGGTTAGAATTTTCAAAATTTTTCCAAAAAACGCCATTAAAGTTGGTTCAATCGTCTGACAATTGGTGTTCAATTGGTGGTAATTTTCCACCAATTGCGAATGCGAAATTATAATCACGATATCTATTCAAATAAACGCGAAAAGTGAGGTTACGATTTTCAAAATTTTCCCCAAAAAGATTTTAAAAATTGGAAAATTGAAAAATCGAAAGTCGAGAATAAAAAAATTCGGAAATCCGCAAAAAAGAAAAATCAAAGAACTGAAAAATCCAGATCGACAAATTTAAAAAATCTAAATAATAAAATGCCGAAAAATTGAAGAATACAAAATTTAAAAATCGGGAAATCGAAACATCAAAAAATCGAATAATTAGAAAATAAAGAAATCGAATAATTAGAAAATCGAAATAGTGCAAAATTTCCAAACTGAAACATGGAAAAATTGAAAAACTGACACATTGAAAAATTGAAAAACGGAAAAATTGAAGAATTGGAGGATTGGGGAATTCGAGAACTTGAGAGATAATGATTTGGAGAATTGGAGAAAAATTTTAAATGTAAAAGTTGCGAAATTGAAAAATGGAAAAATCAAAGAATCGGAGAATTGAAGAATTGGGAAATTGCGAAATTGGGAAACTGGGAAATTGGAGAATCAGGGAATTGAACAATTGGAAATTTTTGAAAAAATGAAAAATTGAAAAAATTTAAAATGTAAAAGTTGAAAAACTGAAAAACTGAAAAATCGAAGAACAGAAGAATTGGGGAATTGGAGAACTTGTGAGTTAGAGATTTTTGACAATTGGAGAAAAAATGAAAAATTGAAAAAATAAAATTAAAGAAATCGAAGGAACGAACAATGGGAAGAACCGAAAAATCGGAGAAATGGAGAAGTGGAGAATTGGAGAGTGGGAGAATTGGGAAATGGGAGAATTGAAGAATTGGAGAAATGGAGAATTGGGAAATTGGAGAATTAGAAAAAAATGTAAAAGTTGAAAATTTGAAAAACGGAAAAATCGAAAATTGAAGAAATGGACAAATCGAAAATTGGAGAATTGGGGTAATGGGAGAATTGGGGAATTGGAGAATTTGAGAATTAGAGATTTGGAGAAAAAATGAAGAATTGAAGAAATGTAAAAGTTGAAAAACGGAAAAATCGAAGAATCAAAGAATCGGAGAAATGGAGAATTGGAGAATTGAAGAATTGGGGAATTGCCGAGTTGGGGAATTGAAGAAATGGAGAATTAGGATATTGGAGAATTGAGAAATTGGGAAACTGGGAAATTGGAGAATTGAACAATTGGAGAATTGGAAAAAAAAGGAAACACTGAAGAAATTAAAAATGTAAAAGTTGAAAATTAAAAAAATTGTAAAACAGAAAAATCGCATAATCGAAGAATTGGAGAATAGGAGGATTGGAGAATTGAAGAATTTGAGAAATGGAGAATTGGGGAATTCGGAAATTGGAGAATTTGAGAATCAAGAGATTTGCAGATAAATTGAAAACTTGAAAAAATGTAAAGCTTGAAAAATTGGAAAATGGAAAAATCAAAGAATCGAATAATCGAAGAACCGGAGAACTGGAGGATGGGATAATTGGGAAACTGGGAAATTGGAGAATTGAATAACTGGAGAATTGGAAAAAAAATGAAACATTGAGGAAATTAAAAATGTAAAAGTTGAAAAATTGAAAAACGGAAGAATCGAAGAATTGGAAAATGGCAGGATTGGAGAATTGAAGAATAATGGAATTTGGGAATTGAGGAATTGAAGAAATGAAAAATTGGAGAATGGCAGAATTGGGAAATTGGAGAATTTGAGAATTAGAGATTTGGAGAAAAAATGAAAACTTGAAAAAAATGTAAAAGTTGAAAAATTGAAACACGGAAAAAGCGAAACAGTGAAGAAATTCAAAAAGTAAAAGTTGATATTTCGAAAAATTGAAAAACGGAAAAATCGAAGAATTGGAGAATTGAAGAATTAGAGAATTTGGGAATTGGGTAGTTGGGGACTTGAAAAATTGAAGAAATGAAAAATTGGAAAAATGGAGAATGGGAAAATTGGGAAATTGGAGAATTTGAGATTTGGAGAAAAAAATGAAAATTTAAAAAATTGAAAAGCGGAAAAATCGAAGAATCGGAGAATTGGAGATTGGGATAATTGAGGAATGAGAGAATTTGAGAATTGAAGAATTGGAGAAATGGCGAGTTGGGGAATTTAAGAAATGAAGAATTGAAAAATTCAGAAATTGGGAAATTGGAAAAAATGAAAGATTGAAGAAATCAAAAATGTAAAAGTTGAAAATTCGAAGAATTAGGGAATTTGCGAATTGGGGAATCGAAGAATCGAAGAACTGGAGAATTGGAAAAAAATGAAACATTGAAGAAATTAAAAATGTAAAAGTTGAAAAATTGAAAAACCGAAGAATCGAAGAATTGAAAAATGTCAGGATTGGAGAATTGAAGAATTAGGGAATTTAGGAATTGAGGAATTGAAGATATGAAAAATTGGAGAAATGGAGAATGGGAGAATTGGGAAATTGGAGAATTTGAGAATTAGAGATTTGGAGAAAAAATGAAAACTTGAAAAAATGTAAAAGTTGAAAAATTGAAACACGGAAAAAGCGAAGAATCAAAAAATCGAATAATCGAAGAAACGAAGAATCGGAGAAATGGAGAATTAGAGAATGGGATAATTGGGAAATTGGAGAATTGGGAAATTGGGGAATTGAACAATTGGAGAATTGGAAAAACAAGACAGTGAAGAAATTAAAAATGTAAAAATTGATATTTCGAAAAATTGAAAAACGGAAAAATCGAAGAATTGGAGAATGGAAGGATTGGAGAACAAGAATTGAAGATTTAGAGAATTTGGGAATTGGGTAGTTGGGGACTTGAAGAATTGAAGAAATGAAAAATTGCAAAAATGGAGAATGGGAAAATTGAGAAATTGGAGAATTTAAGATTTGGAGAAAAAATGAAAAGTTGAAAAATTGAAAAACGGAAAAATCGAAGAATCGGAGAATTGAAGAATTGGGGAATTGGCGAGTTGGGGAATTGAAGAAATGAAGAATTGGAGAAATGGAAAATTCAGAAATTGGGGAATTGGAAAAAAATGAAACACTGAAGAAATCAAAAATGTAAAAGTTGAAAATTTGAAAAATCGAATAATCGAAGAATTGGAGAATGGGAGGATTGGAGAATTGAAGAATTAGGGAATTTGCGAATTGGGGAATTGAAGAATTGGAGAAATGGAGAATTGGGGAATTCGGAAATTGGAGAATTTGAGAATCAAGAGATTTGCAGATAAAATGAAAACTTGAAAAAATGTAAAGCTTGAAAAATTGGAAAATGGAAAAATCAAAGAACCGAATAATCGAAGAACCGGAGAACTGGAGAATGGGTTAATTGGGAAACTGGAAAATTAGAGAATTAGGGAATTGGGGAATTGAACAACTGGAGAATTGGAAAAAAATGAAACATTGAAGAAATTAAAAATGTAAAAGTTGAAAAATTGAAAAACGGAAAAATCGAAGAATTGGAAAATGGCAGGACTGGAGAATTGAAGAATTAGGGAATTGAGGAATTGAAGAAATGGAGAATGGGAGAATTGGGAAATTGGAAAACGGAAAAATCGAAGAAATGGAGAATGGGAGGATTGGAGAATTGAAGAAATGAAAAATTGGAAAAATGGAGAATGGGAAAATTGGGAAATTGGAGAATTTGAGATTTGGAGAAAAAATGAAAAGTTGAAACATGGAAAAACGGAAAAATCGAAGAATCGGTGAATTGGAGATTGGGATAATTGGGGAATGAGAGAATTTGAGAATTGAAGAATTGGAGAAATGGAAAATTCAGACATTGGGGAATTGGAAAAAAATCGGAGAATGGGAGGATTGGAGAAATGAATAATTAGGGAATTAGAGAATTGGGGAATTGAAGAATTGGAAAAATGGAGAATTGGGAAATTGGAGAAATAGAGATTTGGAGAAAAAAATGAAACATTGAAGAAATTAAAAATGTAAAAGTTGAAAAATTGAAAAACGGAAAAATCGAATAATCGAAGAGTTGGAGAATGGGAGAATTGAAGAATTCGGGAATTGGGGAGTTGGGGAATTGAAGAACTGGAGAAATGGGGAATTGGAGAATTTGAGAATCAAGAGATTTGGAGATAAAATGAAAACTTGAAAAAATGTAAAGCTTGAAAAATTGAAAAACGGAAAAATCGAATATCGAAGAACTGGAGAAATGGAGAATTGGAGAATGGGATAATTGGAAAATGAGAGAATTGGGGAATTGAAGAAATGAAGAATTGGAGAATTGGGAAACTGGGAAATTGGGAAACTGCGAAATTGGAGAATTGGGGAATTGAACAACTGGAGAATTGGAAAAAAATTAAACATTGAAGAAATTAAAAACGTAAGGGTTGAAAAACGGAAGAATCGAAGAATTGGAGAATGGGAGGATTGGAGAATTGAAGAATTAGAGAATTTGAGAATTGGATTGTTGGGGAATTGAAGAATTGGAGAAATGGGAGAATTGGAAAATCGGAAAATTACAGATTTGCGGAAAAAATGAAAACTTGAAAAAATGTAAAAGTTGAAAAATTGAAAATCGGAAAAATCGGGGAATCGGAGAAATGGAGAATTGGATAATTGGGAAATGGAAGAATTGGGGAAATGGAAAATTGAGAAATTGGGAAACTGGGAAATTGGAGAATTATTGAATTGGGGAATTGAACAATTGGAGAATTGGAAAAAATGAAACATTGAAGAAATTAAAGATGTAAAATCTGAAAATTTAAAAAACGGAAAAATCGAATAATCGAGGAATCAAAGAATTGAAGAATGGGAAGAAGATTGGGAAATTGAGAAATTGGAGAATTAGGGAATTGAACAATTGGAGAATTGGAACAAAAATGGAAAATTGAAGAAATCAAAAAAGTAAAAGTTGAAAATTTGAAAAATTGAAAAACGGAAAAATCGAAGAATCGAAGAATTGGGGAATTTTGGAATTGTAGAAAAAATGAAAAATGTAAAAGTTGAAAAATCCGATCGGCAGAAAATTGGTGTCTAATTGTAGCTAATCTTCAACTAATTAATATTTCAATATCAACGTCAAGACATGTATTCAAGTCTATCGAAACATCGAAATATCAATAAACCCCAAATTAGGAAAATCTAAAATTTAAATTATCGGAAATTTTAAAATTTTAAAATTGAAATATATATAACTTTAAAAATTGGGAAATTGAAAAATCGAAAGTTGGGGAAAAATTTGGAAACTTTGCAAACAGAAAAATCAAAAAATTGAAAAATAGGAAAATTGAAAAAAAAAAATTTAAAATTGAAAAACGGAAAAATTGAAGAATTGGCGAATTGCGGTATTGGGGATTTGGAAAATTGGGGAATTGGAGAACTTGAGAATTAGAGATTTGGAGAATTGGAAAAAAATGAAAAATTGAAAAAATAAAAAAAGCAGAACTTGAAATTTTGAAAAACGGAAAAATCGAACAAATGGAGAATCGAACAATTGGAGGATTGGGGAATTGAGGAATTAGGGAATCGAACAATTGGAGAAAAAATGAAAAATGTAAAAGTTGAAAAATTGATCGACTGAAAATTGGTGCCAAATTGTAGACAATCTTCCGCTAATTACGAATCCGAAATCGCCGTCACAATTATCTAAATAAACGTGTAAAATTAATTTAAAATTCTACATTTTACCCTACGATTGAGTAGCTGCAACGCCAACATTATTATTTTAAAAATAAATTTCACAGCCTACTAACCACCTTTTTTTTTTGAAACACAGAAATATTAACACAATATCGAGAAGTGCGCTTAGTGACTCACCCTGTATATCACCCTGAGACCTCTATTAAATTTTAGTGATAAAAACGATGTTACTTATACACAAATCCGTTTTTCCGGTAATACGATAGACATAAAAAAAATAGACAACAACTGACTCATGGACAAAGTCCTCAAAATAAACCATCTATTTGTCGTAAAAATGGTCGTTTATAGACTCAGTATGTGAACCGTAACTTGTTTCCAGGTCGTTACAAGTGCAATAATGGGGATTTCAGGGACGACATAAAAAAAATTCTTGAAAATAAATACAATAAATATACGATGACGTTATTAACCCACGGCACCACCCCACACCCACCTTATGATGTTCCAGGTGGTACTTCCTGAAGCTAATCGAGATGGGTATCCCAATGGGCAGGTTCGCGAAGAACCCGAACATCTTGTTGTAGAAGGGCCTCCCGTGGCCGAACGCCAGGTTGTGCGAGATCTCGTGCACGGCTGCAAGCACTCCGTCACACCCAGCTCTCAGCCGGCGCCCACTTACCCAGCATCAGCGAGTGATTGATTACGCCTCCGAAGCAGTAGCCCACCAGGAAGATGGTGGGCCAAGATCTATCCTTCATCACGAACAGCATCGCGAACTGGGTCAGGACCATGAGCGTCACCACCCATTTGAAGTTGGGGTCGTAGCCGAACAGCCGCTTGATCTGCGGGTACTTCTCTGGAAAAGGGCGGCTGTCAGTTTAAGCGCTTTCGCACCGGAAGCGATCCTAACCTAAGATTACTTTTCGCCGGCTGGCGTGGGGCTCCTCGGTGTACACCCATTCGAAGTCCGTCCTCGACACGTGCTGGCCCATCTTCACCTTGCAAAACAGCAACGATTTAATCCGCTCTTTTAACCGGACTGAGTCACATTTTGCGCTAAACGGTCTAATTGCGGTTACGTCATTTGTGTCAACTTGACAGACGGATTACCAACAGCGGTTGCCAGGCGCCGGAAAAAAATCGTCACGGGGAAAAAAACACCAGACCAGACAAATTATAATAATAATTATTATAATAATTACAATAAGACACCCACAACCCACAACCCACAAGCACTTGGCGAAAAAAACACCACATTTATTACAACCGGAAATAACTCGAGAGGGGATTACGATTCCAGCCCACGTGATTTGTTTATTTAGTGATAAAAACTCTCACCGGAAATAAAAAAAAATCGTCACGGACGAGGCCCCGGAGGGATTCGAACCCTCGATCTCCTGTTTACTAGACAGGCGCTTTAACCAACTAAGCCACGGCGCCGTTGTTACTCTTTTGGAATGATTCGGACTTCAGGGTTGTGCGGTGTTTGGTGTTATCAGTCGTGATAAGAGATTTGTCGGACTTACGGTAGTCTTGCAGTTGGGTGGCGATCTGGCGGCTGGTTATCTTATTGTTGGCTTTTGGTTTTTGCGAACTGTGATATCATGGAACTACTTATAAAAACGATTTGGGGAACAATAGGTTTTCCGTTATCTTTATAATGGTTTGACTACGTGATTGCAAGCGGTACACAAGCGGAATGATTATTTGCTATGTATTTTATTCGGTTTATCTTCCTACGTGTGGAGTTATTTGAACTACATAAATATCTGTTTGATATGTAATGGAAATGTTCTGGTTGGGATTGGTGGGAAAAATTCGTTTGAAAATGTAGAGTGGTATTTATTGTGTTATTGCTTATAAAGTCGTTTCATTGCTAGTTTTACTTTAGTTGTTAGCATATATTTTAGTGTTACTGTCGAACGAGCAATAGAATTTCTAATTGAGTCGTCCTTGGAACGAATTAGCGTGTCGGTGATTAAGCCGTACTGATAAATGTCAAAAATGACAGTTGTAAAATTGTAAGAGACGACCTACGTGATTTGGTGACTAATGCACCTGACAAATAAAAAAAAATCGGCTAAAGGTTTTGTATGGTACTTCAATCATGCTTAGAGTGGTGACATAAAGCTTGTCAGGTCAGGTCAGATTTCTTTGATGATAATTTTTATCAAAAATTAACCAATAAAATTAATTGCTTTATTTTTTTTAATCAACTTATAGGCATAAAAAATGTATCTAAGTAATAAATTGAGAAATCCAGAAATTGGAAAATTCCCAAAATTAAAATGGTGAAAAATCGAGAACTTGTGTAATCGAAAAATCAAAAAGTCGACAATTGAAAAATCCCAAAACTGAAATGTCAAAAAATTGAAAAATTGAAAAATCGAGATAAAGAAAACAATCGAAAAATCGAAACATCGAAAAATCGAAAATCGGAAATAAAAAAATTCGAAAATCTGCAAAATAGAAAATTCAAATTACTGAAACATCGGGAAATCCAAAAAGTTAAAATTTAAAAAATCGGAATATTGAAGTATCGAACAATTGAAGAATCAAAAAATTAAAACATCGAGAATTCGAAACATCAAAAAATCGAAAAATTGAAAAATGAAGGGATCGAAAAAGCGAATAATTGGAAATTCGAAACTGAAAAATTCCCAAACTGAAACATCGAAAAATTGAGAAATTGCAATATTGACAAACCGAAAATTTAAAAATCAAAATTTTGAAAAATAAAAAAATAGAAAAACAAAATGAAAAATTGAAAAGTTGACAAAATTAAAAATGTAGAAGTTGAAAAACTGGAAAACTGAAAAATTGAAGAATTGAAGAACTGAAGAATTAGAGAATAGTAGAGTTGAAGAATTAGAGAATTGGAGAATTGGGGAATTGAGAAATTGGGATATTGGAACATTGGAAAATTGGGAAATTGGAGAATTGAGGAATTGGGGAATTCGGGAATTGGTTAATTGGGGAACTGGAGAATGAGGAATTGGGGCATTGTGGAAATGGGGAATTGGGAAATTGAGGATATGGGGAATTGGGGAATTCAAAAACTGAAAAAATTAAAAATGTAAAAGTTGAAAAATAGAAAAACTGAAAAATTGAAAAACTGATATTGAAACATTGGTACATTGAAAAACTGAAAAATAGTAAAATTAAAGAATTAGAGAATTGAAGAAATCAAGAATTGGAGAATGGGAGAATCGGAGAATTGAGGAATTCGGGAATTGGGAATTGAGGAATTGGGAACTGGAAAATTGGGGAATCGGAGAATTGAGGAATTCGGGAATTGGGAATTGAGGAATTGGGAACTGGAAAATTGGGGAATTGGGAAATTGAGGAATTGAGAAATTGTAGAACTGGAAAGCTGGAGAACCAGCGAATTGGAGAATTGAAACATTGAAGAATTGAAAAGCAGATACAATTGAACAGGAATTGAAGAATTGGAGAATTGAAGAATGGAAGAAATGGAGAATTGGGAAATTGAAGAAATGGAAAATTGGAGAATTGGACAATGAGAGAATTGAAGAAATGGAGAATTGGGGAATTGCGAAATTGGGGAATTGGTAAATTGAGGAATTAGAGAATTAGGGAATTTTGGTATTCAGGAAGTGGTGAATTGAGGAATTGGGAAAAAAGCAAAAAATGAAAAATTGAATAATTGAAAATGTTGAAAATATAAAAAATTAAAAATTTAAAGGTGGAATTGAAAAATTGAAAAATTGAAAAATTGAAAAATTGAAAAATTGAAACATTGAAAAATTGAAAAATTGAAAAGTTGAAAAGCTGAAAAGTTGAAAAATGGAAAAATGGAAAAATGGAAAAATTGGAAAACGATAAATTGAAAAATTGACATTGCAAATTTGAAAAATTGGTAAACTGAAAAACTGAAAAATGGTAAATTGGAGATATGGGAATTTGAGAATGAGGAATTGGGGAATTGGAAAATTTGGGAATTTCGGAATTGGAAAATTGGAAAATTGAGGAATTAAGAAATTGGGGAGCTTGGAGAATTGAATCATTGAAGAATTGAAAAAAATTAAGAAACGAAGAAACGAAGAAACGAAGAATGGGAGAAATGGAGAATTGAAGAATTCGGGAATTAGGGAATAATTGGGAAACTGGGAAATTGGGAAATTAGGGAATTGGGGAATTGGGAAATTGGACAATTGGAGAAAAAATGAAAAATCGAAAAAATGAGAAATTGAAAAAATTAAAAATGTAAAAGTTGAAAATTTCAAAAATTGTTAAGCGGAAAAATTGAAGAATCGAAGAAATGAATAATCGAAAAATGGAAGATTTGAAGAATCGAACAATCGGAGAATCGGGAAATTGGAGAATTAGGGAATTCGAGAATTTAAGAATTGAAGAATTGGAGAATTTAAGAATTGAAGAATTGGAGAATTTAAGAATTGAAGAATTGGAGAATGGAAGAGTTAGTAATAGGAGAATTGGAAAATTGAAGAATTAGGAATTGGGGAATTGGGAAATTGGGGAATTGGGGAATTGAAGAATTGAAGAAATGAAGAATTAGAGAAATGGAAAATTGAAGATTTGGGGAATTAGGAAATTGAAGAATTGAGGAATTGGGGAATTGAGGAATTGGGGAATTGAGGAATTGGGGAATTGAGGAATTGGGGAATTGAGGTATTAGGGAATTGGGAAATCGAGAAATTTTGAAATTCGGAATCTGAGAAATTGGAGAATTGGGGAATTGGAGAATTGGAGAACTAGAGAATTGAAGAATTGAAAAACTGAAAAAATTAAAAATGTAAAACTTGAAAAATAGAAACACTGAAAAATTGAAAAACTGATATTGAAAAATTGAAAAGTGGTAAACTGAAAAACTGAAAAACGGTAAAATTAAAGAATTAGAGAATTGAGGAATTCGGGAATTGGGAATTGAGGAATTGGGAAATTGGAGAAGTGGAAAGCTGGAGAACCGGAGAATTGGAGAACTGAAACATTGAACAATTGAAAAACTGATGCAATTGAACAGGAATTGTACAATTAGAGAATTGAAGAATTAAAGAAATGGAGAATTGGAGAATTTTACAATGGGAGAATTGAAGAAATGGAGAATTGGTGAATTGCGGAATTGGGCCATTGGGAAATTGAGGAATTGGAGAATTAGGGAATTTTGGAATTGGGGAACTGGGAAAAAAGAAAAAATGAAAAATTGAATAATTGGAAATGTGAAAAATAGAAAAAATTAAAAATATAAAGTTTGAATTGAAAACTAGAAAAATTGAAAAAATGAAACATTGATAAATTGAAAAGTTGAAAAATGGAAACGTGGAAAAATTGAAGAATTGACGAGTTGACGATTCGAAGAATCTCTGAAGAATTGCAACATTGAAGAATTGAAAAACTAATACAATTGAAAAAAATGAAAACATGAAAAATTGAAAAAATGAAAGAATGAAAAACTCAAAAATGTAAAAGTTGAAAAATAGAAAAATTAAAAAACTGACATTGAAAATTTGAAAAATTGGTAAACTGAAAAACTGAAAAATGCTAAAATTAAAGAATTAGAGAATGGAAGAATTGGAGACATGGGGATTTGAGAATTGAGGAATTGGGAAATTGGAAAATTGAGGAACTGAAGTATTGGGGAATTAAAAACCTGAAAAAATTAAAAATGTAAAAGTTGAAAAATAGAAAAATTGAAAAATAGAAAAACTGATATTGAAACATTGGTACATTGAAAAACTGAAAAATTGAAAATTAAAGAATTAGAGAATTGGAGAATTGGAGAATGGTAGAATTGAGGAATTCGGGAATTGGGAATTGAGGAATTGGGAAACTGGAAAATTGGGGAATTTTGGAATTAGGGAATTGGGAAATTGAGGAATTGAGAAATTGTAGAACTGGAAAGCTGGAGAATTGGAGAATTGAAACATTGAAGAATTGAAAAGCTGATACAATTGAACAGGAATTGAAGAATTGGAGAATTGAAGAATGGAAGAAATGGAGAATTGGGGAATTGAAGAAATGGAAAATTGGAGAATCGGACAATGAGAGAATTGAAGAAATGGAGAATTGGGGAATTGTAAAAAAAAAGAAACGAAGAAACGAAGAAAGGAAGAAAGGAAGAAACGAAGAAACGAAGAAACGAAGAAACGATGTAAAGGTTGAATTGAAAACTACAAAAATTGAAAAAATGAAACATTGATAAATTGAAAAGTTGAAAAATGGAAACGTGGAAAAATTGAAGAATTGACGAGTTGACGAATCGAAGAATCTCTGAAGAATTGCAACATTGAAGAATTGAAAAACTAATACAATTGAAAAAATGAAAACGTGAAAAATTGAAAAATGAAAGAATGAAAAACTCAAAAATGTAAAAATTGAAAAACAGAAAAATTAAAAAACTGACATTGAAAATTTGAAAAAATTAAAGAGACTGGAAGAATTGGAGACATGGAGATTTGAGAATTGAGGAATTGGGAAATTGGAAAATTGAGGAATTAGGAAATTGGGGAGCTGGAGAACCGCAGAATTGGGAAATGAAGAAATGAAGAAATGAAGAAATGAAGAAATGAAGAAATGAAGAAATGAAGAAATGAAGAAATGAAGAAATGAAGAAATGAAGAAATGAAGAAATGAAGAAATGAAGAAATGAAGAAATGAAGAAATGAAGAAATGAAGAAATGAAGAAATGAAGAAATGAAGAAATGAAGAAATGAAGAAATGAAGAAATGAAGAAATGAAGAAATGAAGAAATGAAGAAATGAAGAAATGAAGAAATGAAGAAATGAAGAAATGAAGAAATGAAGAAATGAAGAAATGAAGAAATGAAGAAATGAAGAAATGAAGAAATGAAGAAATGAAGAAATGAAGAAATGAAGAAATGAAGAAATGAAGAAATGAAGAAATGAAGAAATGAAGAAATGAAGAAATGAAGAAATGAAGAAATGAAGAAATGAAGAAATGAAGAACTGAAGAACTGAAGAAACGAAGAAACGAAGAAACGAAGAAACGAAGAAATGAAGAATGGTCAATTGTGCAAGTGGGCAATTCGGGAATTCGGGAATTGAGGAATTGTGGAATCGGGAAATTGAGAAATTGGGAAATTGGGAAACTAGGGATTTGGAGAATTATTGAATTG